TTCGAGGATGAAGCGAACATAAAAATTGCTATTTTTCAAATTCATTTATGAAAATGGACATTTTAAGGAAGAAAGTGTAATGAATCTGATTTTGAATCAAAATCATGGAATTCGAGTGATGAAAATGTCTGCTTTAATTGATGAATATGAAATACATCAATTTTTATTCCTGTTTCATCACTAAAATGCAATTTTTTTTTATTTCTGAAGTTCATGAAAAACTTTTGCTAAAAGTTGTGTTGTATCTTTCTTCGCAGTACAGTCAGTAAATCGTAGTACTTATAAAAATCGGCGGTAGCGCCTATGTTTTTCGATTTCAGTTATGAATGGTTTTCAAGACATTTTTCTACTCAAAGTCGAATTTATTGTAAGCAAGAATTTCCAAATAATCAAGAAGAAAACAGTTTCAGAATATATTTTACCAGGAAACGTTTCTGCAGTGCCATCTATCATAAATAAAATTTATCGAATAATTGAAGTTGATTTGGACCTTGTGGCTATTAGAGGTGGCTCGGACGCATCAACATTCTTGAAGTCGTACGATACCGACTAAATTCTGTCAGTTTTAATAGATTTCAAAAATTAATTCATTTGTTTTGATACACTACACCATGATGTAATATGTTCGAAACAACTGGCGATTTTTGTCCGGTTCAAATTACATTTATTTGCCATGTTTCTGTCATGTGTGACCGTTTCAAAACACTACCAATTCAAGCAGAGTTCTCTAATAACTGAATGGCTCATTTTTTAGAGGATTCTTCTGGTTACAAAATCTTTGTGTGAAATATCTTCTGGGCATGCTTATGCTTTTTTAACAATTGAGTTCACTTGTTATTAGTAGGGTGATAGAATATGAATATAGATGGAAAAAATGCTCTAGTAATTGAATGAGACGTTCAAAAAATAATTCTTGATAGTACTAAATCTTCTATAGAATCTTACGATAATAGAAAAACAGAAGCTTTTGTACCGAGACACGATATAGTTTCGAAAAAATCAGCTGTCTTAAGTTATTTTTTTGAGTCCGACTTGCCGAAAATTTTTCTAAAACGTATAATTTATGATAGCAAATTCATCCTAAAAATCGTGGATTTTTCTATCGTAATGCTAGAAAGTAATTTAATGCTCACGTTTTCATTAGTTAACTAATTATACGATAAGTTTTATTTGACTGTAAGCTCAAACAATACATATTTTAACGTAGATTCATGATAAAAGAACTTCGTCAAAAACCTTGTAGGAAATCAAAGTCAAATGAAAAATGAACATACCACATTTCGACTGAAACTACTGGTACAGGTACAAAGAACACTCGATCAATCCAAAATGGTTACAACAATTTCAAGTAGCTTATATCCATAGATGATCTAAATCTAAATTCACATAGTCAGTTTTTTCTTTTGAAAATTGCGAATAACAGACAACGCATCGTTTATAAGCCGTGTAATTTGAAAGCAATTCAAATGAACTCATTATCGATTATTAATTATTGAACTCTGGATACAAATTTTTTATTTTTAGCTACAGTTTCTTCATCTTCTCCAAATACAACTATCGAAACATGTCGTGGTAGTCTCGAAGGTTATCCTGTTAGTGGTTCATCTGTATTAGGAAAATATTCACAAGCAGCGATTGCTGTTGATAATCCTGAATGTGCAAGAATTGGTCGTCAAATACTAGAACGTAATGGTACAGCTGTTGATGCCATTATAGCAGCAGCTATTTGTAATGGAGTTATGAATGCACATTCAATGGGGATTGGTGGTGGATGTGTTATGGTTATTTATTCTAAGTACGATTGAAAACAATCATTTATCATATTAAATATTTTCATTATTTTATAGACAAAGAAATAAAGCATATAGTATTATTGGAGTAAGTTTAAGAAAATATTTGAAAAGAACAAATAAAAAACAATATGAAATTTTGTATATGTAGAGAGAACAAGCACCATTAGCTGCTAATTCAACAATGTTTATAGGTCGTGAACATATGTCTACGATTGGTATAGATTATTATAGATGAAAAACAAATAAAATAAAAATTTATTTTTCTTTTGTTTTCATAGGTGGTTTATCTATTGGTACACCAGGTGAATTACGAGCTTATAGTAAAGCATATTCTGAATTTGGAGGAGGTGTTTCATGGAAAGAACTTTTTCAACCAACTATCCAATTATGTCGAGAAGGAATTGTTATTACTAAAATTCAGGCTACAGCTATTAATGAAGTAAAAGTTGATATTCTTAAAGATCCAGGAATGAGGTTTGAATGTACAAATATGAATTTGCAATGAAATATGTATTTGTCTTTTTTTCTGTAGGGAAATTTATGTTAAAAATAATCAAACAAATGAATTATATGGTGAAGGTGATACAATACAACGATTGAAATTAGCTCGTACACTTGAAATAATTTCTGAAAAAGGTGATGATGCTTTTTATACAGGTGAATTAGCTGATGTTATTGTGAAAGAAATTCAAGATCAAGGTGGAATAATAACAAAAGAAGATCTTTCTAATTATCAAGTTGATTTTCGTGAAGCAATACAAGTTAATCTTAATGAATCATTAACAACATTTGTTGCCCATCCACCAACAAGTGGAATTATTCTCTCATTTATATTGAATATCTTACGAGGTTTTTTCTTTATTTGAATATTTATTTGAATAATTTGATTTTTGTATTTTATTAAGGTTATGGCTTTAGTCCGAAGGATTTAGAAAGTACAACAACTACTACTTTATTTTATCATCGTCTTATAGAAGCATTTAAATTTGCTTATGCTAAAAGAAGTGAACTTGCTGATCCACTGAAAGTTAATATAACTGATGTATGTTGATAATTGAAAGTGATGAATGAATTCTTATATTCGTTAGAATAATATACTTAGAGAAAGATTGAAAAATAATGCTTATATTGAAGACCTATACCGAATAGAATTGACCATCAACTTGTTAGTTATTGGTGGATTGTGAAACAAAAAGCTTGTGCACTGATGACAGTATCTTTTGAGGTGCTAAGAAGTTTTCCACTAGAATTTTTTATGTATTATTGAGAGACCTATAAGAATATGAAACATCTGAGAGATTTTTAACATAGGTTGCTATTTGGATGAGATATTGAATTTTTAATGAGTTTTTCTACTAAGATCTTAATTCTTCAGTACAATTATATTTTCATATTTCGATCAAAAATCGTCACAGAAGCATTTTAGTTGAAAAACGGAAGTATGATTTTACTAGAAGATTGGAGTCATACTGAGAAAGTTCATTAAAAATTCATTATCTTAGCTAAATAGCAACTTTTACTCATTTACTTTTAAGACTTTCATAGCCTAGTGACTCTCTAAGTAATACACAAAAATATAGATTGAAAGCTTTCTAATATCCCAGTAGACTCCTTCAGAAGATAAATTTGAGCAAAAATTGAAAGCAAGTTCTATATTATTTTGTATGATAATATTTGATTACTATTTTAAGCTCATTCAAAATCTAACATCAATAGAATATGCTGATCATATAAGACAACGTATTGAGTAAGTATCCTATTTTAGTTAAAAGACAATTTCTATTTATTGCTGTTGTTTATTAAGTGATTCTAAAACATATGGATTTCAACATTATGGTGGAACATGGCTTGATAAGATGAAAACTGGTACATCTCATCTATCAGTTATTGGATCTAATGGTGATGCTGTAGCAATGACATCAACTATCAATCTATAGTAGAACTTTTTATATTTGAACTTAAAAATAAATATGATTTATTATGTTCTAGTTTTGGTTCAATGGTGCTTGGCACTCGAACAGGTATTATTTATAATAATGAAATGGATGATTTTTCTACACCGAATACAACAAATTTTTTTGGTGTTCCGGCTAGTCCAGCTAATTTTATTGCACCTGGTAAAAGACCAAGCTCATCAATGGCACCATTAATTATGTTTGATCAGAATAATCAACGTGTATTACAAGTTTTAGGTGGTAGTGGTGGCACTAAAATAACTACAGCTGTTGCTCAAGTAGCTATGCTTAATTTATGGTTTAGAAAAGATATTAAACAAGCAATTGATACTCCAAGATTACATTCACAATTATTACCAGAAGAAGTTTTAGCTGAACGTGGTTTTAATCAAGTAAATTATAGTTTAATATTTAATTAGATGTTTATGTTTATTTTTATATAGACAATTCTAGAAGAACTAAGAAAACTTGGTCATAATATCCAATGTGGTATGTATGGAGGATCAATTGTACAAGGTATTGAATGGAGAAAACAAGAAAATCAATTATGGGCTTGTAGTGATGTACGAAAAAGTGGTGCACCGAACGGGATATAAGGCTAAAACTTATAATTATTTTTATTTTAGCTAATCGATTTAAATAAATGAATCTCCAATATTATTGGTGAATTATTATTTCAAAAGATGAGTCGGTGTAGGTATGGGCTGTAATCAAAGTCAACGGTCATTGACATCTAGACCCTTTTGAAAGTTTCTGAAATTTTAAGCGTTTGTGTTGCAAATTGTTCGATATGATTATTCTTTCAAATACCTGGGCTCAGTAGATCAAGTTCAAAAATGATTTTCTAAAACTATTTCTCTTTCCTTATTTCATTATTGAATATGATGAGTTTAATTGACATTGAAAATAAAAACTGAGGGCCTAATTAATTTTTCGTGAAAGTACCTTTTGTCAGTAAAATAAGCTATTTTTTAAATACCTGATAGCTTCGATTAGTTGAAATTTTGAAAGCTTCTAAGTTAGTCTAGTGACGGTCTATAGAAGAACTCCAAGTTTGATCAGTTTGCAAGAAACCGAGATCGATTTCCAACATGAGAGAGAACCTTGTTTTAAAAGAAAGATTACAGAAAAGAATATCCCATCGAATGCTCATCATGCATTGTTTTGTACTCTATATACAACATTTTTGTACAATATAGTTAAAAGAAAAAAAAACTTATTTTTCATTTGTTCAATCGCGCATTTTCTTTCGTCAGTAGAAATAATCGATGACTACTGGTTCACCGAGAATTCTTTTCGAGCGTTTAATTGATAAATTGGCGAATAGAATATCGTGTGAAGATAATATCTCAATGTTATGCACCAAAGCAGAATTTTCGTCACTCTTGTACACACTGACACCCCAATCTGCATGCATGTGACCGAAAAGATGAACACGAGGTTTCACTCGAGTCACTACTTCACTTAAGAGGCCTGGACATCCCAAACGTTCTTCATTTGCCGGATCATAATCACGAATGCTATAAGGAGGACTATGAGTCATCAAAATATCGATATTTTCAGGAATCTTCGACCAAATATCAGCTCGAATGCTTGTAGCATCGTACCCAAAGGCTTCAGACAGATAAATACGACCCCTTTCTGGTCGCCATGGACTTCCATAGATGGATACGCCTTCGATATCAACCAATTGATCTTGAATATAGGTCATATTCCCTAGTATCTGTTGGCTTAGATCAGGCCGTTCTGGGTTGAGAGTGATACAGTGATTGCCACTGACGAAGAGTTTGTGTTTGTGTGGTAATTTACCAACGCATTCATTGAATTTAGGTAAATCACGCCAACATGTGTAATGATTAACTGCATCACCACAATGAACAAACACATCACCATGTGGAACGACAATTCTATCGAGTTTATTATGAGTATCCGATACACAAACAAAACGTAGATGTCGGAGATTTGTTGCATTTACAGACTGTGGATCACGATAGATAACAAAGGGATTTGCTTCAGTACCTAAACCGATCTTTTCGATCAAATCTTGATCGAGAAGTTGTTTCTCCGTCTCATGGTACGGTGGATGTGTCAAATGATGAAGAACAACCAAAGGATGATCTCGAACGCGCGGGACTCGACACCTTCATAACAAAGATTTAATTGAAAACATCAGCTACTATAAAAGATGAATGACGTAGAAAAAAAAGCCTACCAAGGGCACCATGAATAGGTTACTGGTTTGAACACGGGCAAGTTTCGTACGGTATCGTACACTCTACCAAACCCAGGCAAATGATCCATTTATTTATGCAATTCGATAATATTCTATTTGTGTTACTGATGATAACTAAAGAGAAAAAAATGAAAAGTAATGCGTAGTGGCCATGTGAAACGTGATGCATATTTTGTCATATTGCGTATAGATGTTTTTTTTTTGCTTCGAACATTGTTTTTTCTATCGAACCTCTTTTATGAATGTATTGAAATATTGAAAGAGAAAGAAGCTTTCGTGAGTCATAACGCTACCCATGCAAATAGTTGGTAGAAAAGAGCAACTTTTTCCGAGTATGAGTCATTTTGAAAGTTAATGTTGAATTATATGGTAGAAAAGAAATATTGTTACATTCATGAATGACTATTTACTCTTCTTCGATTCGTCAGTGCGCACATGGTGTAGTCAAAATAAATAAGCTGTCGTATACATCTTTCGTAACTGTTTGAATCATTGACCCGTCTGATAACGAACATGAAGAGGCACCAAAGAGTTTTATTCTGCGAATAGGGTGTAGATATGGATGTGGAATAACAGAAACAAACGGATCCTAATGAATTGAGGAATAAATTCAACATAGTTAGAGTGTAAGTGTTCGTGAACTAAACACTCATAGGTAACATTCTCACACCCATCCACCCGCAATCCATCATATCCATACTAAAAACTTCTTTGCATTTTAGTATCTTTTACATATTAAGTTATTCATTTATACCTTATGTGAATGGCTATTCCTTGGTAACTCCTTTGGTCTCTTTTCTATTTTATCCATACAAAAAAAAAATTGTATGAAGTAGCACTTCAAAGACAACTTTTGGATTACAAAGAATCTATTTCCCCTTTAAATGGAGATTTTTCAATTTTAATGTGTCTAGATGCACCTTGATTAGTATACAACGAGAGACGATCAAAGTCCATGAATGCTTTATATGAAACTTCCAGAAATTGTGTATGCCAAAGTTAATAGTCACTACTAGAAGTTTCACCCTTATTAATGAAACTTTCAGCGTATTTTTATTTTCCACATGATAAACAAGTTTGTGATGCTGAAGACAGACGACAAATAGGTCAGAATCAATAACTATTCGGATCATTTTCGTAGGATTTGATAGTCAAGTCTATATCATTCAACAGAAAATTTAACTCTGAAAAACAATTTATAAATGAGTTTGGTTTAAATGTAAGAATCGAATTTATAAAGTCGAATATACCCTCGACCGGATATCTTGCATTTGTCATAATCAATAGTACAGAGGACTAATGAGAACTGTTTTTCACTGAACTGGTATTATTATTTCTCAGCATAAGTAATACTTATCAGGAGCTACAACACTGCTGAATTGAAAATTTGAAAAAGACACATCCATTGCAAAAAGATATTAATAGATCACGGGAATTATGTGCACAAATCACGTGACCGTAAGCATTGTACATCCATGATGGCTATTATAATGTGCAATAGTTGGATGACTTTGGTAGGATAGCCAGGACTTGTTAACAGCTATAAAATCGCGTGAACAATAGAGACTAATTAGCTCACGGTTGAAAGTTCAAATTAAATGAGTAAAAGAACTGTTTAAACGGATGCTATGATATCGTAAGATATGTTCCAACGCTTCCTTTAGTAAGAGCTGAGTTGTCCGAAAAATGTTGTTCCGTTTTGGGAACGATATTTCAATAACGGAACAAAAGTGTTTTAAACTCCGAAGCATCTTTCTCAAAAAAAAAATAAAATAAAAATCATTCAAACAGATCAGTTTAGATCAGAGAACGTTTTCAACAATTTCTCAGATCCGAACTACGTAGAACTAAACTTGTCAATGTCTAGTAATTCAAAGAAGATCACATCAAACTCTCGGCAATCGACTACTACTGAGTGCCTCCTTGTTATTTATTTTCTACGAAGAAGATTAAATGCTTTTTACGCAATGGTAATTTTATATATTTATATTCCTTTATAAAAACGTCTTCTAACATGCATGTTCTGCATCCGATGACATCATGCTCAATAGTCTTTTTGAAACCAATATAATTCTCCTCAGTTGTTTTTACCTTCGCAGAATATTTTGCTAATATATAAGCATTGATACATAGAGCAAAGAAAAAGACAACATCACAAGCATTGCATATTGATTCTATATGACTGTATCAGATCTTGCAACTTGCTTTCGTTGTACACAAATAAATGAACAGCATTCGAGTCACAATTTTTTTTTATGTTACACTTGTACTGTATTATTTACAGCAGAATTTTACATAATAAATAACAAATTACAATGTTGTCCAATCTTATGAAAAATTTAACAAAAAAGATAAATCCGGATGTATTTTTCTCATTGACATAAGAAGCTTCTAAAATTGTCTTTTTGCCGACTCAACATCAATCTCTTGTGTACCAATCTTTTTTTAATACAATCGATAATAAAGTTTACCGTCTTTTTTTTCTGTCCTCTATATGATGATTCAATCCACATCTCAGTGACAAGTTGAAAAAATAATGTGCTCTTGTACGACGTTGCATATGTACACAAGAATGAATTCTTGTCGTTCGACGTGATGAAAAATTTTGAATTCTCTGTTGTGAAGAAAGACATTTGAATATTGGCATTGAGAAAGAGAGAATCGATGATCGTTAGCAACCAGTTAAATTAAACAATTGATTATTAAAATAATAAACAAGTAAAAGAAAGATTTATCTTTTAATTAATTTTAATTTTATATTTCAAAATATAGAGATGGTTGTGCCTGACAATGGTCTTAGTATGACATTCATTATTACTTCCGTAATCTTTGGAGGAATTGCTTTACTATTAGCTTGTGTTGGTATTGGTACACCTAATTGGCAAAGTTCTCAAGTCGTTATTGATGGACAACGACATACTATTAGTACCGCAAATTTTTTCTATGCATGTCGTTCATATACAAACGGTACATTGATAAATTGTAAACATCGTAGTTCTGATCGTAACATTAATCAATATTATCCAATCGATGCACGCTGGAATGAAACTGAATGGAATCAACATTTAGATGGTGCAGCTGGTCTATGTATTGTTGGTATTTTTTTTATTTTCTTAGGGACAATAACAAATTTATTAATGATCGTGGACAATTTAGCAATATGGATTTATTTAATTGGACCAATAAGTCTTTTTCTTGCTTGTCTTTTTATGTTAGCCGGAATGGCTGAAGGTGCATATGTTCTTTATTATAATGATTATTCAGCTAATTTATATCAGACAGCACATTTATTTACAATATTTAGTTTTCTAATAAGTTGTATAGCAGCTGGACGTCGGTTTTCGTTTCCAGATATGAGAGAATTCAATATACCGTCAAGAAAACAGTAAATAAATATTGATTATTACGTATAAAAAAAAATTTGAGATAAATAATAATTTTTCATTTTTTTTATTTCAAGTACTTTGTTAGTTTAATTTTTGTCATTGTTTTTGTGATATATTTTGATTGAATAAACAAAAAAGTCTTTTAATAAGTTCAGTTTTCTTGTTATTTCATTACAACTATTAAATTTGTAAGCAAAACCAAGAAGTTCTATCATTGAATTTTCAAACAATTAATAAGTGTGTGTTTGCTTAGTTATAAAAATAAAAAATCTTAAAATTTTCAAACATTTGATATTAGCTACTCATTTAGTGATAATATCAGTTTATTAACATATCAATATTTCATGATGCGTTTTTTTTGGTCAAGTATTGGAAGTATTGGTGTGATTGATTGATGAAATTTGTGAAATGAACATGGCTAAGTAATTAAACCAACAACGAATTTAGAATAAATGGCAATAATTCAATAATTACATCAATTGCATTATAAATGTTCAATAATCAATGACTTGAATATAGAAAAAATAAATTTGTTCTCAAGTAATATAGAGAAATCCAAATAGTATATGAAATCTATTATTGTTGTTATTTATGTGTATACTTCTCGTGTTTGATCGTAATAACAGATATTGATGAATATTACGTAAAGAATAAAACAAAAAAAAAATAAGTTCAGCTTTGAAAATAAGAAATTCTAAATTGAAGTTACTCGAGCAAATAATGGAGAAAGAAACTAATTTTATTTTGAAACATTAATGACATATATTGAGTTCGAAAATGCATTTGATGATCATTAAAAATAAGACTTGAATAAACTATTGATCATATTTTATAATTAATCAATAAGCTGTTAGTTATAACGAAAGAAATTATTCAATGTTAGATTATCATAAATATAGTTATTTCTTATTGTTTCAATATCACTTTTTATTTATGTATGAAGTGTATTAATAATTAATTTGCGAGAAGAAGAAAAACACAATCAGCAGTTAAATAAATTGTTTTATTTTGTTTAAAATCAGCATTTCAAGAAGTATACTATGAGATGGAGATGAGTAAATTCAAGAACTTTTACCAAAAAAGAAGAACTTAATAAAAGATAGAAAAAAGAACTTTTTCCTATTGTCTAGATTGCTGCTATTGTGAAGAGGTCATCCACAGAGAACGTTCGAAGAAAAGAAGGAAGGAGAGAATCAGCTACAAATAAACAGAATGTAGCATAGAACAAGAGACATCAAGAATGTCTCATACTGAGCCTTTTGTGAGGAACCTTTTTACTTTTTACAAGAATTTTCACGAAACTCAAAAGTTTAAATAAGATTTAATAGGATTTTTACAGAATATTTCATATAGAAATCTTGTGGTATCTCATTTATCAACGAATGAAATATATGAACTGTAAAGTGTACATTTCACTATCTTGTCTGATATGTATTGATAACGAAGGATCCAATACTCGACGTCCATCAGATAGTTTCGAAAAAGTTATCGGATCGAACATCATCCGAAAACAACCCGACGTCTCACTTTACAGCAATTTCGACTTTTCGAAAGTGCCGAAATCTAGTAAAAAGTGTTCTGTGATAATTTGGGAAGATCTAACAATGTGTTTGGTCTGACTAAGTGTTTTATCACTTCCTCTCATCAATCATGGTAATGGACGTTCACATGAGAAGAAATTC